ATCATTAGTATTCAGCGCTGATATCAGCAAACATCTCCATTGTCTGAAATGCCTCATTAATTAATTAGAAACCGTGTTTTGAACCGTTGATGATCCAAAAGCTTTGATTCTGAAAGAACTACAATTACTTAGTACGTCTTTGTAACAAGTCTAGCATCATATTAGGAGAAAGATATTAATCAGTGCCCCTTTTGTTTTCTCAAAAAGCTACAAGCAAATTCAGAAAATTGTGGTCCTCCGCTTTCAGGGTCTAATTGGTTGAGGTGCAATGATTTGTGACATATTGTACTTTTCTCATCTGTCCTGGTTTGCCTGAACTTTATGCCAAAAGATATTGTTTTATATTTTGAAAGAAATATGTTCTGGTGCAGAACTTACGGCCAAGACAACAGCTCTAGAAAGTCAAAGTGGTTAATGTCATGAGGTCAAAATTCATAGTACATTCCGAAATGTCTTGTCACAAGTAATGAGCATAAGAAAAAAAATATTAAAGTCCTGCCTTTTCAGAAGCAAAACTTAGGCCAAGGTTAAACTTTTAAAAGGAGGTGTAACTTGAAGATCAAGGTCACAGGGCCAAAAATTATTGTACATTTGGAAAGGTCACAGGTAATGCACATGAGAAATTAGAAAGCCATATGAAAGTCTCTCAGTCAAAAGTTATGACCAGAGTTTTTGTGAGACAGACAGATGGAAAGCGAGGGACAATAAAATTATTTTTATAATCTAATAAATTTACACCATACTATTTTTTAAAAAAAATCTTTTTTTTGTTTTTGTTTTGTTCCTATATACATGTAAAAATAAATCATTAAAATGGACTTCTTTTAGAACAAAAATAAAAGTTACCATCTTCGCTAGCCAAGGGTTTCTGATACGCTACTCTCCTCATAAGCCCTTGGCATACGGTGTTAAAAAAAGTTGGGATTTTTTTCTCAAGTTGTGATTGGAGTTGATCGACATCGTTCGACCAATCAGCAATTGTTTTTTTTTTGTAAATGACGATATTTGCGTTCGGGATATATCTTGACTCTTAATCTTAATATCGGTAATGTAAAACGCAAGTAAACAATGATCCGTAAGATAACATAGCTATATGGTGTCATCCAATATCTAAAGCTACGTGCAAAATATGTGATTAAGAATCTATACTGAAGATGTAGATTTGCATTTTTACATGTTTAACAAATTAACATAACTCGATACCTTCTTGCTCATTATTCTTTAAAAACAAAATTTTTTTAAATACGCTTTTTATTTCTGTCGATGACGCAATCTGTGCGTACCTTGTAAGAATCATGATCACGTGACAAAAACAATCCCGTCTTTTGTCAGCACCGTATGCCAAGGGTTTATGATGAGAGTAGCATATCAGAAACCATTGGCTAGCGAAGATGAAAAGTTACATGAAAGGGTAAATGTAATCAAAGCAATATATCCACGATCTAATTATAAACAAGGAGCATCCCGTAGCAAATGAGCACATCAATTTATTATTTTCGTAACTTCCGTTACGCACGCACTCATTCAGCCATCCACACACAAGCGCATTATTACTTATTATCCCCTCCAACTACATTGCGAAGGGATAGTTATTGTAAATGCTAGCATCTATGAATTAAAATGTTATGTCATAATGATATTTGACTTTTATTACAATGTTACAAAGTTCATTAAATATAATTTGTACAGAATGCACAGTTTAACATTTACATACAATACATGTATTTGTAATAATAATTTTCACACACTCACTATATACATACATATATATATATATATATATATATATATATATATATATATATATATATATATATATATATATATATATATATATGAAATTAAAAAAAAAATCAACTACATACTTCCTTCACCCAGTTAGATTTTAAAATATCCTCTGCTGAAATTCATAAAGGTATACGAAATCCTTGAAGCCCGAAAAAAGCCCAGGGTTAGACAATATCACAAACGAAATGTTGAAAGCATCACATACATACCTAAACACCTGCCTCCTGAAGTTATTTAACACAATATTTAATACTGGCATTTATCCAGAGAAATGGCTAGAAGATATGCAACACCAATATTTAAATCGGAAAATCTAAGGACCCCACAAAATTATAGAGGAATAACAATAACAAATAGCATAGGGAAACTTTTTAACACTATTTTAAATAATAGGCTTGATACTTTTTTGATTGAAAATAATATCATTCACGAAAGCCAAATTGGATTCTCAAAATCATCAAGAACATCAGATCATCTATTTGTTTTGAAGTGCCTCATAGATAAATATATCAATTCAAAGAAGAGACACTTATATGTCTGTTTCGTGGACTTTCATAAAGCTTTCGATACAGTTATCCATGAAGGTATAAAACTAAAACTTCTCCAATTAAATATCAATGGTCTTTTCTATAATATATTATGCAACATGTATAGACACTGTAACATCCGAATTAAGATAGACGACAAACTTACAAGTCCTTATTCACCAGAAATTGGCGTACGTCAAGGGGACGTGTTAAGTTCAAATATATTCAAAATATTCCTAAATGATCTTTCTACCCTACTTGAAGAGGATAACTCATGTACTAATAATGTTTCCTTATCAGGAAAGAAAATTTCAGCTCTTCTGTATGCAGATGACCTTGCTTTAATATCTGACAACCAAATTGATTTGCAGAACAAACAAAATCTATTGAATAAATACTGTAATAAGTGGTGTCTAGAAGTAAATTGCAACAAAACAAAAATAATCATTTTTAATAAAAGTGGCCGTCTAATTCAGGAACCCTTTTTTCTTGGAAATAGAGAAATTGAATGTGCCAAAAGGTATAAATATCTGGGAATAGTACTATATTCATCCGGCTCCTTTAAAGAAGCAAAAGAAACATTATTTAAAAAAGCTTTGAAAGCCTCCTTCAAACTCCACAAAGATATGAAATTATCAGAACCATCTATAAAAACTCAGCTACACCTTTTTGACCACTTAATCAAACCAATATCATTATACAGCTGTGAAATTTGGGGCATGTTATCTAAATGCAACATTGAAAAAAATAAAGACATTTACACTATATATAAAGATTGGGATGTAGAGAAATTGAATATCAAATTTTGTAAATTTATTCTTGGTGTTGGTAAAAAGAGTACAAATATTGCTATTCTGTCTGAACTTGGTAGATTACCAATGTTTTGCTCAATCACCATTAGTTTACTATCTTATTGGCATAGATTAGAAATATGTCAGAATCATCTTTATTACATTGTGCATATAATGAGTGCAAAAATCTTAGTCAGTCTGACATCAATAACTAGTATGACACTGTTAAATTTTTATGTAACAAACTAGACCTTAATTTACTTGTATGTAAACAGTTAAATATGACCACATTTAAAGGACTACTGAAAAAACTTATCAAAAAGCATTTTTACCAATACTGGCTTAAAATACATGATGAGGATCAAATACACGGAAAACTTGATACATATTTTTTGTTGAAGAATACCTTTGCCATTGAGAAATACTTGTCTTTAAAGTCTTTTGAACAGAGGAAAATACTGTGTAAATTCAGAATAAGTGTACATGAATTGAGAATTGAACGTGGTAGATATGAATATACAAAAGATATTAATGGGAAAAAGATCCCTCTAGAAAGAAGTCGACGGATATGTACTCTTTGTAATTCAAATTGTATTGAAGATGAAATCCATTTCCTTACAAATTGTTTTTTATATAATGAAGAAAGGAAAGTTTTGTTCAACTTTGTAAGCGACAATTATAAAAATTTCAACACTCTGTCCAACAATCAAAAATTTTTATGGATTATGACAAATGAAGATCACAATATATTATTTAAACTATGTGACTTTTTATCCAAATCTTTTATTAAGAGAAAAAAACTCATAAAAAAATAATAAAAGTAAAAATGTTAGAAAATACATAATTTTTCAATTCATGTGTACTTCAGTCTTTACTACTAATGTAATTTGCATTTTTTTTAATATTCTATCTTATAAACATTAAGTTTGAAAATGCATGTGTATTAATTGTCATTTTAATGTTGATGCCCCCTACCACAATATATATATATATATATATATATATATATATATATATATATATATATATATATATATATATATATATATATATATATATATATATATATATACACACATACATTGAAGAGTCATATGTCTATTTTATGTACATGTTTATATAGGTGCATGTATGCCTAAATAATTTTTTTTTCTTTTTCTTTCAACTATATTTTAGGCCTCTCTCTTGTAAGTTTGTTCTCTTTATGCTCATTTGGGCTCTGAATTAGTAATAAAACATATCTTATCTTATCTTATATATATATATATATATATATATATATATATATATATATATATATATATATATATATATATATATATATATATATATATATATATAAACTTTTTCACCGGTTTCCAGCAAGTCAAATTATGCAGACTTTGCCTCTATAAACATTAATTTAGTTATAGCAAAAGATACTTTTCTGACAAACAGCAAAACACATGATTGATTTATATATAATTTATAATTTAGTTGCAATATATATGCATAGTAGTTTAAAATATTAACATTTTGCTCAGTTAATTTTTTTTAAACCTGTACATCAAATGGGGAGAAAATCAAAAGTAGATTCATTTCAAAGAAGGGTACAATTATTGTTGCACAGTGTAAAAACTTGTCATCTTATTGATTAAAAAGCTTCTTTTTAAAAAGTAGTTATATACATATGTATATATTTTCCTATTATTATAATTATGTACAAGTATCTACCTATTGTGTATATATTTCCCAGTATTATTTATGTACACTATCTACTTCTGTGTAAAAACCAAACCTAATCCTGACGTGATATTTTATCTTTTCGAATATTTTACCAAACAATGTTTTATACAAATGAACATCTCATTTTGTGAGTTTAAATATCAAATATTTATTACAAATAATTTGTGAAAAAGTAAAAAAAAAATTGTCAAGTCGATAAATAAAATCATTTGCTCCAATCTTACTTACTAATGATACATGTACCGTCATGATTTTTTAAATTAACGCAACTCAAAAAAGATAATGTTTCACAGCACAAAACCTTCACAAACTCCTTCTTTTATATTTCAGATTCAATTGGTTGATGCTTTTGCGAAAACGTCTTCATGAAGGTGGAATCATCGTCGTCCTCAGAGTCGTCACCTATTCGATCTAATTCAGGCGCAGACTGAGATTTGGCGCCAATATTTTCAGAACGAGGCTCTGTGTCCAGAGAAAAACTTATATCATCAAGAGTATTTCTTGAGGCATCTATCCAAGGAATATCCAATGTCTCCTTACTTTGGTTTAGATTTTTGTGTGAATCTGGAATCTGGAAGAGAAAAGTTTTTTAATCGATTGAAACTATTGATAAAAAAAATCATCAACACCGTGGACCACACGTGCTTGTGGGCAGGAACAACCCCACCCGGAAATTCACCCTGGGTCCAAGGATATTTTTCATATTCTTATTTGTCTTTTTTCATAAATCATTCTTCAAACAGAATTTTACAATGTATTCCAAATGGAAAATCCAAAAATAACTGAATAAACGCGCAAATATACCCGCGGTATTATGAATAATTCATAAAACCGCGGGTAGGATTTTTTTTTCTAATAAAACGTTTATTCTGCGTTATTTTTATTTATTTATTTTGGGGGTAGGGTATTTTCTATATGGAATTTATTGTAAATGTATGATAAAAGAATAATTTATGTCATGACAAGCTTGATTCTGCTCGATACTAGTATGCCATCACTATGGCTTTATAAATGAATTTAAAGAAAACCCCTATTCCCAAATATACTATTTGGTTAAAAAATAATTGGACAGTTCAGAAAAATTTGAGGAAGCTAAAATATCCAAAAATCTGTGAACTACGTACGACAACAGCCTAGAAGAAATGGCAAAAGGTAAATTATGTGACTCAGGTGAAACTAAAATATGGCGATAATTTACATTGGGTGACAAAGACTATAAGTGATTTTTCAATGAATACATAAAGGATACTATAGCTACTTACATTAGAAAGAGCCTGGAGAGAACCTTTATCAATGTCAATTCTAGGTAATGGTTTCGGGGATAGGTTTGCTGACTTCCCACTGTAAGATCTAATCAGCATTTCTTCTTCACCTTTGAAGGTTATTTCTGTGCTTGTTCTTCTGTTTAAGGTCACAGATTTCCTTCTTTTTCTGCAGGAAAAATATGTGACAAATTACAATAGCATATTTCAGTATGTTCTTGTTTCAATAATCTGAAAGCTGAAAATTATTCAGAATCTAAATTTGCCACAACAGACAAAAAACATTATTAGTATTAACGACATAGGAATATATATATATATTTTAAATTCATGCCATCTATGGTAAAATAGGTATTAAAGAGATCGATCTTTCATAAATATGCCATACCTAATGAACCACTGAAGGAAAACAAAAACAGCAAGTAAGAGCACAGCAACGAAGATGACGATCACCACGATCAGTTCTAAAATCAAAATGTATTCTCTGTTTTAGTTGTATTCTCTTACAGTGTTTACAGACTAGGACAAAGATCTGTTAAGTGAGTAATGCAAACAAATATCATGCCAAACTTACAAAAACCTTAGCAAACAATAAAGCATATATAAGTAAAAATTAATTTACACCGTTTATAACTTTCATGATGTAGGCAAATCTTATGGAACAGTTACTCTGCATAACCTAACTGTCGTAGGACTGTTCCTCTATATAACTTTGACCTGTTATACGTATCTTATGGGACTGCTCCTATATATCTTTGACCTGTTGTTGGTATCTTATGGGACTGTTCCTCTATATAACTTTGACCTGTTGTTGGTGTCTTATGGGACTGTTCCCTTATATAACTTTGACCTGTTGTAAGTATCTTATGGGACTGTTCCTCTATATCACTTTTCCCTGTTGTAGGTATCTTATGGGACTGTTCATATAAATAACATTTCCGTTGTAGGTATCTTATGGGACTGTTCCTCTATATAACTTTGACCTGTTGTAGGTATCTTATTGGACTGTTCCTCTATATCACTTTTCCCTGTTGTAGGTATCTTATTGGACTATTCCTCTATATAACTTTTACCTGTTTTTGGTATCCTATGGGACTGTTCTTCTATATAACTTTTACCTGTTATAGGTATCTTATGGAGGGACTGTTCTTCTATATAACTTTTACCTGTTATAGGTATTTTACGGGACTGTTTCTCTATATAACTTTAACCTGTTATAGGTATCTTATGGGACTGTTCCTCTATATAACTTTTACCTGTTTTTGGTATCTTATTGGACTGTTTCTCTATATAACTTTAACCCGTTATAGGTATCTTATGGGATTTTTCCTTCATATAACTTTTACCTGTTATAGGTATCTTATTGTACTGTTTCTCTATATAAATTTTTACCTGTTATAGGTATCTTATAGGACTGTTCCTCTACATAACTTTTACCTGTTGTAGATGTCTTATGGGGCTGTTTCTCTATATAACTTTGACCTGTTGTTGGTATCTTATGGGACTGTTCCTCTATATAATTTTTACCTGTTATAGGTATCTTATTGGACCGTTTCTCTATATAAATTTAACCTGTTATAGGTATAGCTTACGGGACTGTTTCTTTATATATCTCTTACCTGTTGTGGGTATTTTACCGGACCATTTCTCAATAAAACATTTACCTGTTGTAGGTATTTTGCTGACCTGTTCACTTGACCTCTCAGGATTTGGCTCTAGTGTATCAGAGGCGTTCCCTGACGATGTTGTATGTTTGTGTGACACTGTTAATTTTCTTTTCGTGGTATCTTCCTCTGTGGTCTTTCTTTGTGTAACTTTGGTCATAGTTGTAACACTGTCTGTAGCTTTTGACAATAATTCCGTTGTATGAAAGATTTCTGTTGAAGGACTCCCAGCAGCCTTTGTTAATTCAGTTGATCCTCTTGCTAATTCCGTAGGTATTCTTTTTGTTGCCATCGAAAAAGTTTGTTCTGTCTCTAACACGGTATTTAATTCTAAAGAAAAAAGGGTTGTGTACTGAGTTGTTGACATTTTAGTGTTCATTTGTGTTGTTGGAATAGACGTTTGTTGCCCTGTCGATGGAAAATTAATTTGCTTTGTTGTTGGAACAGAAGTTGATACACTTGTTGTTTGTTCTGTCGATATCACCTTTGTTAGTTTTACTGCTGTGGGAAACGTTTGTTTTTCCCCCGTAAAAGTAGTTTCAAGTTCTTTTATTGGAATTGTTGATTCTTGTGTTGTTGACAATGTTGTTTGTGTTGTTGTTAACTCTGTTGTTGGAAATGTTGTTTGCTCTGCTGCTGCTGGTGTTGTTGTGTATTGTGTTGGTTCATCTGTTGTTGGAAATAATTTGGATGTAACTTCTGTAGATGGAATTGTTGTTTGTTCTGTTGTTGGAAGTTTTGTTTCTTGTGTTGTTATTTTTGTTGTTGGAATGGTTTGTGGTGTTGTTACTTCTGTCGTTGGAATATTTGTTTTTGCTGTTGTTTGTTGTGTTGTGCGTTTGATTGTTGGGGTTGTTTGTGATGTTGTTACTTCTATCGGTGGAAAAGTTGTTGGAGTAGATGTTTGCTGTGTTGTGCCTTTTGTCGTTGGAATTGTTTGTGGTGTTGTTTCTACTGTCGTTGGAAAAGTTGTTTGTTGTGTTGTAACTTTTGTTGTTTGAATTATTTGTGTTGTTTCTTTTGCTGCTGGGATTGTTTGTTGTGTTGTTGGAATTGTTGCTTGTTGTGTTCGGTTACGTTTTATTGTTAGAATTATTTGTGGAGTTATTGGCATTGTTGTACGTTGTATTTTAAATTTAGTCGATGGGATCAATTGTGTTGTTGTACCTTCTGCTGTTGGGGTTTGCTCTGTTGTTGAAATGATTGTTTGTTTCGCTGTTTTTTCTGTTAGAATTGTTGATTTTGGGATTGTTGGAGTTGTTTGTTTCGTTCGTCCTGTCGACACTGTGGTTGGAGAGGGCGTTCCTATAACTGCAGATTCAACTGTTGGCGATGCACCTTCTAAATTAAAGTTGATCAATTTAAAAATACGAGCACATTATATTATTTAACGGTGGATGTTTGTAAAAATTCCATTATTGACGTTTAAATGAAAAGGCAATTATTCAATTGATTAATACCGAGATATTTATCAAACTGATCGATTTCAAGGTGTTGAATTTTTGGAACTTTATAAAATTAAAAACAATCATGTACTGATTTTTATAATAAATTCCATTGTACCATTTTTCGTTTAAAGTTTTCACCTCCCGTAAATGAACATTTTGAATTTACATAAATATTTTTATTTTACATGTGATGTACACTTCCGCAAATTCCATAATGCTAGAAGAATATAATTTTATGATTTAGCATCATCTGCACTTATAAAGTACAGAGATAACTTTTGACAATGTTATTGATAAACAGAGGATTAATATGAACAGAGATTGTCTCTTAAATATTATTACATGTATTGAACTGAGACCAAATGGAGACCTCACCAACAGTTAAGCTAAACCACCTATCTTAATCAATGTATTCCTTTTAATTAAGAAATAAATAACAAGTTTAAAAACTTCAATGGGAATTGAAGTGGGTCGGTCACGTGATCAAATCCTGTGAAGGCCGAAGGCCTTCTCAGAAGATTTGATCACGTACCGACCCACTTCAATTCCCATTGAAGTTTTTAAACTTGTTATTTATTACTTATATATACATTTGAGACGGACAATCGAATGTAATCGAATATAAATATTGCACTAACTGTACGTCGTAGATTTTGACAAATTACGCTAGGTGTAAATCGGCTTGAAAAGCGGTTACGCTTCAAATTCATCTGGCAAAGGATTGTTTTGAAGGGAATATTCTGTGAAAGGCTACATGTGATCAATTACATGTATTATAGTGAGCATATTAGTGTCTGGGAATTTTTGTATTCATGAGAACCCATATTCGATGTTAAAAAACACAAGAAACACGTCCGATGTTGGATACTAAAAAGTTGGAGGAATTTCGGTCGGAAAGGGATGGATGGAGACACTTGTCCGGACCAGATAACTTGAAATCAAGTGCAAAATTTGATCAAAAACATAAAATCTACGATTTCGGTAAGGCATATTTATTAATTTATGATGTTGACACGGAGACACTGGCGACAGCTTACATTGTTAAGACAACGTCACAACGATCTCGATGATGGAGGTGTGCCTACCGGGAGCCGGTGCCTACCGAACTTCCAAAGTGCAGTGTTTGTCAGCTGTTTGTGGCGTGATTGCATTACATTGATATTTTTCAACAGATTTTCAAATTTATTGTGAGTAAAGTTTAATGGAAAAAAAATTATAGCATTCAGAGGTCTGCGAGAAAAATAAGGGTAAACGTTGAGACTATGCAGCTCAGACATGAAACTTATAACACGTAGTTTTCTATTCTCTTTGTAAAATCGATCAAGAACTGTATTAAATACTCGTTTACATTGTAAATAAAATGATTATTATTTTACTTGCGTATTTTGTACATTTTTATGCATGAAAAACATGCTATATTGCTTAGTGGAGTAAGTCTTTTTATGTAGATATTACTGCGCTGTGTGATTAGGTCACGTAATGACCTATGACCTTCGAAAAACTTCATACAGGTATGAAGATATTTGCTCTCTGCATGTTTATATAATAGAGAGATACCACAAATGTATATATTAGAGATTGTAAGGTAAAAATTTGTGATCCGTTTCGGCCGATCACAGTTGATTCCATGTGAGGCATCCGGTAAATGTAACAACTCCATGTTAAGTACTAAGGAGCTTTTATAATGCATTAACTTAGACTTTGTTATTAAATATTAAACGTCACTTCGAGATTTTTCACTCAAATTGAGACGCCACCACTTGTCCCATACTCGGCATTACGGCCTTTCAGCCTTTGAGCAATGAGAGCTCTTTTTCATGCCAGTACCTACTGCGACATGGAACCTCATGCAGTTTATACGGTCTCATCCGAAGGACCGGTCTCCACGTCCTGCACTTAAATTGGATTCGAACCCGCGACGTAAGGACCAACTCCTTACTCGCTACGCTCTAACCACTGTATCACGCGGGCGACACTTCGAGATGCAAACATGGATACATGGATACAATAAACTTACATTTTCTCTCTGTGTACAAAAAAATTCACAGTTCCAAAACAACCTTTCCATTTAGAGTAAAGTTTCATTTTCATTAGCGTTTCGAGTAATTCTAACCTGTACACTAGTTTATTAGGGAATTGACAATTCTACATCTCTGCCATTACGTAGGCCACAACTTTGACATCTGAATATACATGTAACTCTTCCCGATTACTTCCTTAAAAAGGAATACTTATTGTGTATGGATAATGTTGTTGACTAGGTGGGAAGAAAACCAAGGCCTAGAATAAAAGGTTGTGATAAAAGGTAGACTATAGACCGTGTCCTAAAACCTTTATTTCTTCATTACTTGTTAAAACTTAAAAAACATATCCTTCATAAATTCCTCTATATTTGTCAGAAAAACTAAATGATGAACGCCAACAAGTTTACTTCTTTATTTACGTTATAACTTCCGATAAATAAAAAAAATCTAATAGTTTATGCACGTTAAGTGCACGATCCCACAATCAAAACAATTAATTTTAATTAAAAAAAAACAGAACGGAAACTTATTGTCTCGGTGCGTAGTAAAGGGCTTAATATGTAAGCAAAATAGCAATTCATACAAAATGATACAGTAATGTTTATGAAAATAGTATTAGAATAAATACAATGTATGGTGTTAAATGAAATTAGATCAGGTGAATGTCTTAAGGAAGGATTCTTCTCATGGACTTTTGCGAGAAGCACTGACTTTTACACTCGACAGCTTACTTTGACATTTAAATATGTGTTATGTACGGAGGTTCGGAATTGATATTAGATTAGAAAACCTCACTAGAAGTCATAGGTATGGTGTGAGAGGCACTTACATAATTTACTTGTATGCAATCAACACAAGAGATGATGGGAGGTAGAATAACATAACTTAAAATACCTTGTTCGTGAGGGATAGTATTTCCTTTCAATCTCAATTTATGAAGGAATCAAATAAGGAAGAAAAAAACCCGGAATGAAAACTTGGCAGCAGTTGGTCAAATGGGAAAGGAGGGGGTTAGTATAGGGTGTTATCTCCTTCCCCTCCGTAGACAACGTTATATATACTTTGAATTATTATCGTTTAATTAAAAGTTGAGCTAAATATTCATATAGCAAAAGAGCTGCCGTATATTGTCCCAGTGTAAAAGTAAGCCGTCGATTGTAAAAGTCAGCGCTTCTCGCAAAAGTCCATCATGAAAACACTTATTTCTTATATTAAAATCAATGAAATTTTCACAGAATCAATAAGACAATATTACTAAGTGATGGTATCAGTTAGATTAAATTTGACCGTTTAATAGTAGAGGCAAGGTCAGGTCAAGGTCAGTACCTTTTCCCTGGACATTAAGAATAAAAAATTACTGTTACCAATCATGCGATGCCTACTTCTATTTCAATAAATTAAATGTTTTTCTTTTTGCATAAAGAGATATTACCATATAGGGTCTATAAGATGATATTACCAAATTGACATAGATAATTAAACTAAAATGGATATTGGCTAATCCGAATTTTCTCTATTTTTCTTAAAATTTTAAGATATTTTATTATTTTTATATGCTTCCTATATTTAAATTTTTCTTATTTTCACATATGGTAAAGTTGTCACATAAAGATACAAAACGATATAAAAACAAAAAGTTTTGACCGTTTACTAAGAGAGAAAAAACACTTTTTACGGATTTTTGGCTCAAATCTGAACTTAGATTGGAAGCTTTTAAAAGCTAACATAATTGTAGTTTGTTTGGAAAATCATATTTATTTCATATATTTTAAAACTTTAGTCCCTTATTATTAACTTACATTCAAAAATTTTCTCCAAGTCTTTGATTGTGTAAAAATTATAACTAAATTCATTGTTCTATAATTATTTTGAGAGGCAGAAAAGATATTTTCATACGCCGCCATTCCGCCAAAATTATAGTCCCTGCTAGATTTCAAACTCAGTTTACCATTTCTATTTAAAGTTGTACAATTCTGATGAGGAAAGAAAAATATAATCTTTTAAATCTCTTACATCTAAATATATAACACATATAAGAAAATATACTTAGAATATTTCATCTAGTCAGAAACCAGACAAGAATCCCTCCTTAAATAAATAAATGAGAAAACGGTAATGCCACTGTGATGCCATGTACATATATTTTTGGAAGACCATCTCGACTGCAAAATTTCAAGTACTTTATTTTTCTTTTAAAGTAAATTGTCACCCTGTCGTTCTTTTAATTATTACTAATTCATCAAGAGTAAATATAATTTTCATATTTACACTGCCATTTGTTCTAAGATTGCGACAATTTTATTACAGATCTTAGGTGACCTCATAATTTGAGACGACCAGAATAGTGAAACTCATCCAAAGATTTCCAATAAATTAATCAGCGAAAAATACATGCAAAAGGCTTTTTTCCCAAAATATTTCATGAAGATAAATAATCGATCAAAGAATTTTTATAGAAGTATTTCTGTAGCTGATAATTATTACGGATGGTCTATGTTGAAAGATGGCAGCTCTTAGATGCGATCAAATCGCCCATGTCTAATGTAAGGATTTCTACGAAATCTCCAATAACCTCTACAATTCATTGTAAAATGAAAACTTACCCAACGTTAAACGATTAAATGACAAGAGGCCCATAGGCTAGAAAGCTCACCTGAGTCACAGTTTCTGAGAAGATTTGTTAAAATAAATTCCTTAGATATATTCCTTAAAGAAATTGACCCTAATGCATTATATTGTGGTCCCACCTTATCCCTTTGACCACGATTTGAACAAACTTGAATCTACACCACTTTAGAATGCTTTCATATTAACGTCAATTTTCGAGAAAAAAATTGCTGAATTTTTTTCCTGAATAGTCTAAATTTTA